AATGCTCAACTGACGTGAGATGAATTGCAAAGTCCAAGGCACAAAAAGTCATCTTCGCCACACAACCTTACCTTTCCCGCCACTTTTACAGCCATGGCTAAAATGCCATGTGAGCAAAATTAAATTAATTTTATCGCTGACATCCAAATATATCCATCCAACAAAGTGTTTCGCTATAATAGTTCAGAAAGACACGATATCTAAAATACATCGTGGTCGCGCTCTTTCCCTCTCAACTTCTTTTCACCTTCTTTTTTTCAGTTATTTAAACCAAAACTTTGAGTGACGCAACGTTAATTACTTTTCAAAAGATTCCTTCAATTAATCTTTGTCGTCTAGGATTCATATGTATGAGCCACGGAGAGAAGAGTGAGAGAGAGTAAGAGATTGTGGCAACTAACACTTATAATGCTTGATATTTTCCTATATTTTATGCTTTATAGGCGTCACTTTTCATAATTACCAGTGATATTCCTACGTAGTTTATGGGATCTCTTGGCATTCATGCTGGCAAACTTTTAAATTTCCACGAAATTTTCAAATCCTCACACATAATCTACATTAAACTATGTGTCTCATCTGTGAAAGACTGCGAGAATTTCCCTCCCGCCCCCCGAATGGCATCACACATCAGAGCATCCATTTCAGAAGATCATCATCATCGTGGTGAGAATGAGAGTATATCAGCAAAAATAGATATCCTCTTTCTGATTATAACCATTCGAAATAATATATTTGAACATGTCACAAGAATCTCTCCCTTGAAGATGAAACATAAATTTATCTTATCAAATACTTCTCACAACATTTCAATTAATTCACAGCATCACAGCTTGGAGAAAACACACTCGAATGAAAGAAGTCAACACGCATTTCTCATATGAAACATGACAATAAAATATTTCCGCAGAATATTTCCGATGTAATATTGGGGTGTGCGAGGAAGTCTTTACAAATTTTTATACAAATTCCAAACAACACAAATAAATTGGTTGTTAATTCATCTCCATCTCTCCTCACCTTCTCACTTTTTCCTCCTGTCTTCTGTCGTCGTTTTTCCCCGCGCTCTCAACATTGTCATTCCCCAGATAGTCACATACAATTCTCGCGGTGCGATGCATACATATTTCTTAAGCACCGTATATAACTTTATAAATTACACAAATGACATCTTAATTGTTATGAATGTATCAGCGTTATTCGGAATATTATGTGCCCACACTTTGCACGATAATACCCTCCATTCATGATGGCATTAAATGAAAAGTACAAATTGATGTTTCATTCAGGGCGACGAAAAAAAATTGTTAAACTGCTGTTTGAATGTCCCATTGGCCGTACAATAGCCATGACGAGTGCTTAAGAGAGAGAGATGTTGAAAAACGCGATGGACGAGGAAGGATGGATGGATTTCACACCATTCAGTAGAACACGACGAATATTTAATGAATTTCATCTTTTATTATTCATGAAATTAATACCAGTATTGAATATGATGAGTGGTATCGCCATTAATTGTTTCTCGCATTCTTTTTTTCGTCACCCAAAAGGCCGCGCGCCAACTCTTCCCCGTGAGAGACTCCCATCAAACTCCGTACAATGTAGCATTTCACGTTTGCCATCTCAATTGTGGCAACAATGACATGTAAGATGATGAATATCCACTATTCTTGGATGACAAAATAATCGAAATTCTACGTGATCATCATAGAAATGTCTCACGCCATCGGAAGGCATCTTTTCTATCCACTAAACAATATCATACTGTACTCTTGAGACATAAACTTCGAGGCGGCTTTTTCTGTGTGACACCAATTCAGCACCGTAAAAAAGCCACTTTGACTAAATTGTCGGCTTGATCAGCAACTATCGTGTAAAAGTGATATTTTTTTCCGAGAAATTAAGATCAAGTAAAAAATGTCTTGAGTCAATTCCACAAATATAGAAAAATCACCATTTATGGTCACATATTAAAGTGTTTCCAATTGAAATTTGAGAATTATCGACAGAAGTTCGTCCCGAAGGCCCAAAGGAGGCAGAAAAATCATTTTGATACCCTTGCAGCATATGTTTCATATTAAATTATGTCGAAAATATATCACCCTCAGTCATAGCAAAACCCATCTCGCATTGGCGTCCTCGAATACTTTTCGAGAGAGATGAAATTGAATTTTTTCTGGTGAAAAAGGCAGGAACATTCCTAAATATAGAAATGGCATTAAATGTTCGACTCGAGGAACGACATGTAATATTAAAATTTCGGGAATGAGATGGGATCGTTGCTGATCACATTCAATTGTCAAGGGGGAGGATTTTCTCTCAATAAGATCATTTTGGACTATTTTTAGATAGAGAAATCTTCCTCTTACAGTTAAATTTATTAACACAAATACACGATTTACTGATTTTGTTGCTGGGATTCTGTCAATTTCGTCCCCTCATAGCGAAACAATCAAAACATCCTCATATATAGTTGAATTTTCTCTTCATTTTCCCCTGATGGCTTTCACTTTTGCCCATGCACTTTCTACAGGAATCGCGTCCTTCTCCCCCCCCCCCCCAATTTCATGTAAGACACGAGACAGAATGAAAAACCACACAGTGACTCTGAGAGACAACAAACAAACAATTTTCCCAATTTCTCTGGCTCCTCAACATGCTACCGACACCATTGCAATACTTTGTGACACAAAACCAAAATAAACTGTGTGAAGAAGCGGGAGAAAAAATTGGACATTTTATCCACATATTTCTTGTCGCATTTTCAAGGTTAAGCACAAGAAAAATATAAGATAAACACACACACGCAGTGTTTTCTCCAGAATTAGGAAGCAAAATTTATTTATGAAATCTCAAATTCGTCTTGCATCGAAACGGCGAAATTTGGGATGCAAGAGAAGTGAAAAAATAATCTTGAGACAGATTTACTTTATTTCATCTGATGCATCAACTAATATGGCCCATTCAATGATGTATTAAAAGCTTATGGATGGGTAGCAGCTGCCCAAGAACATCATTGGGATGGTTGAAAGAAAAATTTTACCACTTGGCAACAGGATTTCATCCATGAACAACATTTTGGAGAGAGAATCTCTAATTGAAACCAATTTCTCCTATCACCCTCGCTCACGCATTCGCCCCCTCGATGCACTTTCACGTTATATAATTGTGAATATTTTTCCACGCACTCTCCCTCTCTATCACTCTCGCTCTTTCTACTCCCTCAACAGCCCAGGAGACAGCACAAATTGAATTTGATGGAAAACTAAAAATAAATATCAACTTCTTTTACGGGGCATATCTTCATCATCATCATCGAAAATCCGAAAATCTTTTATGGTCTATTTTTAGTATGTTAATTCGTATGTTCATCACCATTTGGGCTCTGTGAGGAGTACATTTATATTAACAATATGGATCACAGAGAGTGAGAAAACTAAATCAAAAGAGCACGAGACCCAATGGACTGGGGAATTGGTAGACGGAAAAATCCCAGGATAAACCCTGACCTAGCTCATGAAGACAAAGATTCTGTCGGGAAAGATTTTGCTGGTCTTTTTATTTCTACCCGCAAAAACATACAATCGCAGAATTTAGCTCACGAACAGAGATTTCTACCACAATTTGTATAGTATTCTTCCTTTATATTATTACATCTGCATTAGTCACAAGAGTCATAATGAATTTCATTAATTTCCATACATTCAAGCTCTTCTAGAGTATTAATAAAAACATCATTTACAATATCTGTGACAGCTCGCTGAACGAGAGAAGCGAGTCAAGCTCTAGAGACGTGAAAAGAAAAACCCTCGATGAAAAATGTCAGCCGTTGCCTATTCCAATCCAAAGAGCACCCATGGAAATTTGATATAAAATTTCACATCAGGGGAGTTTTATTTATAAAACATTTATAAGAGGAAAAAATGCCACAATCTCAGAGGAATGTCTTGTTGTGCCGATCACCGCGTGTGAGACCAAGAGTCACAATTTTTCATACAAGTGCACAAATACATCACAGAAATATAATTATACGCCATTAATGAAATGGGAATTTTTTATTATTGACTTATTAGTTGGATTTATAAATAAAAGAAGTCAAGAGTGTGAGAGAAGAAGCTGATTTACGTATTTCGTATCCACTGAAAAAACATACCCAGGACACGGACAAACATAATGTGGGTGTGGACAAATTTTAACAACCATGTGGTGAATGGGATTAATCAAATTTTCCACCGTTAATTTCGTCGTCATGCCTGAGCAAAGGCGAAATCTTCAGCTCTCTCTCTCTCTCTCTCCCTCTCTCTCTGTGTTTAATCAATAAAAGAAATTCTGCGAAAATCATCTTGACAAATAAAACCACATCATCATCATTTGTGTGAGTCACAAGCAATCAGCATATCTCAATAAATACAATATCGCTCTTATAAAGCCCACTTTGAGCAGAGTGTTCAAATATGTCAAAAAGAATATGGATTTAATAAAGAGGGGAAATCATTAATTAAAGTGTGTATGGTTTTTGAGATTTTTTTCTCTCTCCCTTCTTCTTTACGAAAAAATACAACATAATTTCGTTTACATATTCAATCGCACCTCCATCCATTTATGCAGATTGATGAAGAGTGGATTTTATGTATACAGAAAAATTTAATGAGTGTACACACACCATATTGATTGAATTAATGATCTTCAAATGTCTTAAAGGAAGAGAGATATGAAGAGCCACCTCCTTCATCTCCACATGCCAGACAAGACACAAAGAGGAAGAGAATGAGAAACCTATACATTAGTTCATTAAACTTTCATTAACACCTTTGGCAATCGATAATGGCTTTCCAAAAACCTAATACAGCATCCATTGTACTTCTTCTCTTTGCCACTTCGATTGAAGAGATGCTATAAAGTACCAATTTCAATGGCAATTGAGCATTTTTCAGTCTGGGAAATGCCACCAAATATCACCGCAACAATATAGTGTTATGGGTAAATTTCTCTCCACTCACCTGTCGCACTTGCTTGAATTGCTCCTCGAAGCTCCAGCCGTTTTGGTGCTGAGACGAATTGGACGTTTCACTCGATGTGGAGGAGTTTGATCCCGGATTGGCATCCTTGCTGCTGCTGTTCGGAGCATTTGGCGGTGTGAAGGGGAAGCCATTTGATGAATTTGACTGCTGCTGCGACGACGACAAATTCTGAGGCTCTCCTCCGCCACTTCCGCGATGACCGCCCCCAAGCGGAGGCATCGAAAATGGGACATTAGAGGGTGCTTGAAGGGATGCCGCACCGAAAGGCGCATGCAAGGAGAAATCTTGATCCTGAAAGGAGAAGACAGAATGCAGGAGATGCAATGTGATGTCAAAGAATCATGCGAAAGTCTCAAGAAAATGTCGGCAATACAACTTTTAAGCGTGCAGTGAATTGAAGTGAATTTTACGCCTAACGATCGCTTGGATCATTGGATGCCTATTATTGTTTTATTACTATACATATTGTGGACACTCCATATTTCGTATTCTTATTTACTGCAAATGTTACAGAAACTTCTCATATTATGCTTGTTTTGGGAATACAACGACAAAGGGTTTTTTTTAGTAAGCAAGCACATTCACTAAACATTCGCAAACTACCATAGAAGAAAAAAAGGAAGACAAATACCATGAGTCCAACTTTCATATCGCGCACTTGCATCTTTAATTTCTCAAGCACGTCACCATGCTGCAAACCGTGCAATCCTTGGAGACCCTGAAGGCCCGGAACACCCATATTGAGGGCAGTCAGGCTGCCCAAGACCCCCAGTGGATGATTTTGGCCAAAATGATGCGGAGCACTGACGAGATGGGAGACAAGAAACATGAAACATACAAATGAGATTCTCTGCAATATAACTTTTGGTCAATTTGGCGCCAAAAAGGCACAGTCACATACTTCAAGTGCGATTCAGACTGATGCTCTGGACTCCTCTGAAATTCCATTCCGGACGACACCATTGGTGTACTATTAGCATTAACATTCACTCCTTCGTCGCTGGAATCACAATCTCTCATGTCATCCTCCCGCTCGTCTGATTGCTCGTCTGTGTGAGACTGTCGAAAAAACATTTAAAGGCAATTGAGTATCTTGCAGTTGCTCCTCCGAAGAGACTGAATCTGCCATGAAAGATGGAAAAGTGATGCGCGCGTGGTGAGGAAAAAAAAGAGTTTCTGCATTCATCCACATTTTTGGCCAAAATTATATTCATTATAAGTAGAGAGAATATTGCGTGTCTGAAGCCTCTATTAAATATATCAAAATAATATTTTTTTTATTGCATTTCATTCTCATCTCCCATCCCAAGTGAAGCCAGTCACGAGAGTGGGAACAAGGAGGCTAAGTCTATGGCATTTCTGCTGCCTCCGAAGCCTTAATTTAGAAATTTCTTGCAACACATTGAGCTGTCTGGGGCGGTTGACTCCATCTCGTCAGATGCAATAAATCTTCCTGTGACCATTATCACCACTATATTGTGAATCAATTTCAGCTTTAATCACCATAATTTCTTGATCAATTTAAATCTTTTGCTACTAGATAATAACTCGTCTCGATATCCCCTCCAGCAATTTATATACTTTTCCACCGTCCATATTAAATCTATCGCACGGATTTTTACACATATTTTTCTCCTCTTTGGCAGAAAATATTTCAAATTTATAGTTTCGCCACTTAATTTGCCCTCTCCCTCTCTTTCTTCATCACCAATTTTTGTCTTGCTCTATTAAGATTTATACAACATATGGATTTTGCCAATGTAATCAAGCATAGGGTGTTTTGTCTTTTGCACTCGAATCCATCGTCAAAAAAAAACCTTCAATTCATGCTTCAATTGTGAAAAATGTTCTTAAATGAAGACATTTTGCTCTCCAGCATTCACGTGAGTCACCCTATATCGGCAATTGGATATAAAAATCTGTAAAATTCTTGCCTCGCATGAATAGACACAGAAATGCATGTGGATTGTCGTGTGAGAAATGAATGATATAATTTCTGATGCGATTAATAAACCCCCACAAGAATTGAATAAATTGGTGAGGTGAGTAAACTTGGGCTGGAGATCTGAGAAGTTACTCAAGTTGTTGTGATTAATTGAACGGGACAAGCACACCTTGTTCGCATGCTGAGCCTTAATCGATTACAATCAATTTGGTGCTATTTTCATTGAATCTCAATATCCTCCATTCAAAAAAGTGTTACAAAGCATATGAGCTCCGTGCCTCTTTTTACACCCTTTTCCTCCGTAAATCTCACACTCTCTCGTCCAACTTGAGACAGTGCCTTCGTTTACGCTTTATTCATCCTTGCTGGTCTTTTTGCCCCCTCAAACATCATGCGGTATTTCATTGATCGCTAATTTTTTTCTCCCCCCCCTCCCAAGTCTCTGTGGAATGGAACATTAATTTGAGAATGAGAGAAAACTCTCGCTTCCAAGCGTCGTCTTACCAAATACTTTCGTCAACATATATCAATCTTAGGCAACACACACGATATTCTTTTATAGATCGATAAATCATTCAGTCATTTATTGCCCAGAAGTGGAGCCACGCGATTCAAACGTACAGTTAATAAATATTATAAATCGAATTGATCCAAATCAACCGCTTATTACCATTTGTAACATGCAGAGATTTATGTATTAATCAAACTACAAAATATTTTGATCACTCATGTGACATTGATTGAATTGTTGTGGGTGGAATATTCATCTTTCAAAAGAAGCACACACTTCACATTCAATCTCGCGTCACGTTGCAATCATCTTTATTATATTTAATAAATTAAATTCTTCATGTCACAAGATCTCAAATGAAGTACACCCAGAACGCCAAGTGAAAAACGAAGCACAAACCTATCAAATAGGACTTCAATGAAGCCAACTAAATAATACGTGAGCCACACCACGATTTTAATCGATCCAATTTATAATGTGACACGTTTTCCCATTTTATATTTAGAGTCTCACTCTCTCAAATGTTGAGCGTGTGTATATGATAGAAAATACCACATTGAATGTCATGCAATCCTTCTTCCTGCCACATCGTCTCACCTCTGCAATTGAGACTCTATCAAGACACACCGTTTCTCCACCACGATAATTTGACACTCATTTCAAAGGTGTAATACCACACAAAGACTTTATTAACAAACACTGAGTGAGAAGGAGAAAAAATTCAAATGGCCAGAAATTGGCATTTCAAGACGACAAAAAAAAAGAGTGACGAAGAAGCATCACACTAATCCCACTTTATAAATAATACTCTTATGAATGCGATTCATTGTTTTCATATAATTTAGCATTACTTGGAGAGAAAAAAATCTAATATAAATACAAGACGATTCATTCACATGACCTTACTCACTATGCCTAGTGATTACACACATGTCTTCATGTTACAATAGAGGAAGGAGGAGAATCCGCCAGAATACCAGAACACCTCGGCTCTCTCACACCACACCAAACCATCATTATCCACCAAAGTGGAGAAAATTAACTCGGCTTTGGGTGGTTAAGAAGAGCGGTAGCGAAAATATCCGTATAATTGGAGTTACTCATTTCGATTCAATGCATATTAATTCCATTATTTCACCATCAATTAATTCACTAACTCATTTGTTAAATTGAATTTTTACTCTCACCACTTTCTACACATTGTCTCAACTTATGGTAAAAATTGCTTCAATTATTTCATTTCTCTACACTTCAAATATTCGTCAAATGTCCATTTCTTCTTGTCCTTCCTTGCATTTATGTATTTGCAATCTCTCCTCACAGAATTATATAGAAAAACACACCCTACTGTGGCATTTCGGAGTAGGTTTGTGCCCGCTTTCCTTGAATAAAGGAAGTCTTTTCGATAGGTTCTTCTGAGAAGGCTCGCACCGCATTCACCCCTGAGTTGCCTTCCCATGAACTATGACTCATCCTTCCAAGGACAAAAAACCATATGTTTTACAGTCCAGCGTGTACAGAAAAAACCGCACGACATCAATGAAATCCTTCTCCGCAAGAATCAATTAAAAAATCACTAAAAGTGTCTCTAAACATTACACCAAATGCCTCAGTGCACGAGTGACGAAACAAAGAGAGAATGTATTAATATGATATTTATTGAACGGAGGTGAGTAGGTAGGAAAAAAATAAAGAAAAACCATGGGTGTAAAATTAAATTGAAAAGTTGATTTCATAAACATTCATTCACGATCAAACAAACAGAGGAAGATTCATATGTCCGAACAGCAAACACTATAAAGTCCTAAATTTAATTATCACCTGCCTCCTCGATATAACATCGCCACATCAACTCATTTTATATTTACACTTCAAATGAAATCTTACCTGTCGATTTTGGATTTATATGTATTTTATTATAAATTGTGTGTATATTTCAAATTCCTCTCTCCACAACCATCATGACGGACTCAAAGACGGTGTCTCACTCTCGACATGGGCCATAATATCCCCACTTTTTCATATAAATATATCCAACCGAATCTATTTTGTTGATTTATCAAATTTGAATATTGACACACTCAGTGCTGAAGAAAGAAGAAGATGACGATGATGAACAAGTGATGAAGAAATGCGTACTTTTTTCCTACCGAGGGTGGTCTTCTTGTGTCAAGTTCGACAAAATACAGCGACAAGATGAGAGGAGAAGAGAATGTGTGTTGAAAATGAAGAATTATAATAGTGGCATAAATTTTTCTTCCATTTTATTAATCAACATCAAGGGTTGAACTAATATTTATTTATTTATTCACGCTTACCCTCCACTCTTCGCCTCATCTCTCATCATTTTTCAACTATATGGACAAAAATGCCTTATAAATATGCCTCAAATATCCCTATTTTCCTCCTCACCTCATGTTTAATGTTAACTAAAAGGCCCAGACACTTCTCTTCTTCCTCTAAATGATATTGGAAAAGAGCAACGATGAATAACATCGTCTCTCATTCCTTTTACCACCGTTTCTTAAGGATTCCAAATACAATACAAATAGGGTGTGTGTTGTTTTATTCTGTTAGAAACGTAGCGACATATACAATTTTTGACCCCCTTCTACCCGCAATTCTTTAAAAATGCCTCAAAAAAGACAAGAAAACGTTCAACATACAATGCCCAAAAGTGAGATAGAGGACAAACAGGAGGGAATATCATTAATATATCTTGGATGTCTCTTTATTCATCTCGTATTTGCCAGGGCAAATTGGATTTTAATAAGAATCACACAATTGTCACACTTCTTAATACATTCAGTCATTCACCGTGAAAGAGGGAAAAAGATTGTCTTTTTATATAAACAAGAAGAGACACTCCTCTTCCTGTGATGTTAAATATGAGAATTTCATTCAGATTTCCATTTTAATATTTACACAATTCATTTTATTATTATTTATTTTAATCCAAGTGCACAGACGTGTTCGTGAACCGGTGAAGAACTCAACATTCTCACCATTGAATGCCACAGAGAGATGAAGAAGAGTCCTCATCGACGAGACAAACTAATAAATAGGAAAATTGTTCGCGACAACTTATTAATAAGCATTATTTGAATTATTGCATTCTTGCCACGGTGAGAAGATGTAGAAAAAGTAATATCGTCTCAGACAACTTTTCCATATCTTATTTTTCTTTGCCATGATTTTACCTTTTTATTTCAATCTCACGTCTCCTTTTTTTCAACACTCTTGTCTCTCATCTAAACAGTGTAAGAGAACAAAAAAAGAAAGAAATGTGTGCAATTCTTCATCTTCACTCTTGGTCTCAACACACTGTCTCATGCAAGCGAGTGCAGAAAATAATAATATCAAGAATTGTAGACTTCTTATGCGTTACTTTTTTTTAGAACACTTTTCCCACAATCATGCTAAGATCCTCCTTTTTATTTATTCATCAAATTCTTATTGCAAATCCTATCCCGCAGCATCATGAGAAATCCGACATTCCAACTTTCGAAATCATGAATGAAATTCACACAAGTTTCTTTATTGTCGTCTGAGTATTTTCGAATCTCGTCATTTTTTTTCACCTCCATTCAAAAACTTACGCGC